GAAGGTTACTGTACTAATCCTGTGGTGAGTTGACAATGGTGGCTTGGCCCATGTAGTTATAGAAACGATGAGAAAAGTCAGATTCTAGATATATTAGGATTGTAGAGTTAACAAGACTCCTGCAGTATTTGAGAGAAATAGAGAATCTGAAGAGAATTCAGATGACCTGAGCAGCTGGAATTACCATCAAAATAAGAAAGGAGGAGTAGCAGCTGGCTTCAGTTAAGCTGCTAGTTGGGAAACCCATGTCCTGTGTTGGCGTACCTGGGTTCACTTTCTGCTCCAGCTTCTGATTCCAGCTTCCTGCTAATACAAGCTTAGGAAACAGAAGTAACAGCTAAAATGGTTTGTCGCTCCCCCTCTTCGTGGAGGAACGACACTAAACCCTGCCTAGGCTTCATATCCGAGTCACGGCACCATTATGTCGCTCCCCCTCTTCGTGGAGGAACGACACAGGACCCTGCGTTGTTCTTTCGTCTGCTCGGCCCTCCCCAGGTTTGCTGCTGGTTCTTCCCGGGTTGGCTGCCGTCCCTCCACCTCCGTGGAGGGGCGGCCCCCCCTGCCACTTTCCCCACTTCCGCGGGGGAGCGGCACACCGCCGGCCGGCTCTCTCGGGGGCTGCACAGGTGTTCCTTCAGATAGATGTTCCTCTTAGATGTTCCTGGTGCATGTTGTCTCTCTCCTCCTTTATAGTCCTCTTCCACCAATCCCAACTCTGCTACCCACACGCCGAGTACGCTGCTCTCCTCCAATCAGGAGCAGGTCCTACAGTTTATTGTTGAACTGGAGGCAGCTGTGTAGAAGCTGTTTCCTCCTCTCCCAGCGCCATATTGTGGGAGAGCAGATGCATAGAATAAGTCTTAATTCCAGTAACTTAGTCTAGTCCGAGTTGCTCCCAGTTGCTCCCCACAATGGTTGAGTTCCTGCTACTCATGTGGGAGACCTGGACTGAGTTCCAGTCTCCTAGCTTCAGGACCCTAGTCATTGCTGGCATTTGGGTTGTATACCGGTGGATGTGGATGCTCTTTCTCTCAAATAAATAAAATACTTTTTAAAAAATGAAACAGAAAGTGCTATGATGCAGGAAGTTTAAGAATATGGGGATTGCCGGCGCCGTGGCTCAATAGGCTAATCCTCCACCTTGCGGCGCCGGCACACCGGGTTCTAGTCCCGGTTGGGGCGCCGGATTCTGTCCCGGTTGCCCCTCTTCCAGGCCAGCTCTCTGCTATGGCCAGGGAGTGCAGTGGAGGATGGCCCAGGTGCTTGGGCCCTGCACCCCATGGGAGACCAGGAAAAGCACCTGGCTCCTGGCTCCTGCCAGGATCAGCGCGGTGCGCCGGCTGCAGCGGCGGCCATTGGAGGGTGAACCAACGGCAAAAGGAAGACCTTTCTCTCTCTGTCTCTCTCTCTCACTGTCCACTCTGCCTGTCAAAAAAAAAAAAAAAAAAAAAAGAATATGGGGATAAAATCATGAGTTCCATTTTAACCATGTTAGATGTGAAACATCTATTAGTCAAATTAAGAGTTCAATTCAGAAGTTAAATGTAGGGGTCTGAAGTTTAAGAGAGATAAGTCTGGAATGGATATATAAATTTGAGTGTCAATGACATATGATAATATTCAAAACCACAGGGTGTTTGAGATTACCAAGGAAGCAGACAGAGAAAAAGAGAATCAAATCCAACTCTTAGAACATTATGTATCTAAGAGGTCGGTAGAAACAGAAAAACTCGGCAAGAGAGAGTGGTAGGAAGGCAGGAGGAAAATGAAGAGTATGTTGACCTGGAAGCTAGGTAAGTAAATTACATCAAGAAGGGAGGGATGATCAATGTGTCAAGTCCTATCAATGGTTGAAGTCATTATCAAGAATGAGAATTGAACATTGGATTTTACAATTTTCATATTATTGGTGGAAGGGTCTAAAAAGCCAGATATTCATGGAATTCAGAAAGACTAGGCAGGGCTGGCACTGTGGTGAAGCCAACTAAGCTGCCGCCTGGAGGGCCAGCATACCATATAGGCATTGGTTCATGTCCCAGCTGCTCCATTTCCAAACCAGCTCCCTGCTAATGTGTCTGGGAAAGCAGCAGCAGATGACCCATGTGCCCCTGTAACCACGTGAGAAACCCAGAAGCAACTCCCAGCTTCTGGCTTTGGCCTGGACCAGCTCCAGCCATTAGGGCCATTTGGGGAGTGAACTAGTAGATGGAAGATCTCTCTCTGCCTCTCCTCTCTCTCTTTCTAACTCTGGCTTTCAAATAAATAAATAAATCTTTTAAAAAAACTAAATCAAAGACTGAGAAAGGAGCATTTGGTGATAGCAAGAAAAAATAACCATTTTGAGGATTGTTACTGCCCATGGGGAAAAAAAAATAGAGTGGTAGCTCATGAGAGAATAAATCAAGAGAAGAAGGTAAGAATGTTTTTTAGCAATTTGACAGGTAAATGCATGTTTATATGCTGAAACAGATGATTTGAGTGAAACATGTAGGAGAAAAAGCAAAAAAAGTATTGAATCAATATCCTTGAATACACAATAAAGGATAATATCTGGTTACCAAGTGGAAGAGTTAAGCTTTAGATAGGAGTATACTTTCAACTTCAAGAAGAGTGGAGAAGATACTAATATAGTTAACTGCTAGTAGGTTGGTAGGTGAAATGATAGAATTATGGAAGTTTTCATTAAATGTGCCTCAGTAAAATACATGGTCATCATTCTCAGTGGAGCAAAAGGAGATGTTACAAGTTTAAAGAGAGGAAGAAGATATAATATTCTAGGAGAACAGGGATGAACTGGTGGAGTTTCATGTAGTATCATTGGCAGTCAATATTAAAGGCCCATTTGAGGTTTGTCAGTCATGAATTTTATCCATTCAGCATATTTGTGTATCTTTCTGCAGTTATGTTCAACTGTAATGAACATGTAAGCACAAAGTAAAGAGTTGTGCTTGAGGCCGGTGCTGTGGTATAGCGGGTAAAGCCACCACTTGCAATACTGGCATCCCATATGGGTGCCAGTTCGAGTCCTGGCTGCTTCATTTCCAATCCAGCTCTGCTATGGCCTGGGAAAGTAATAGAAAATGATCCAAGTCCTTGGGCCCCTGCACTTGCATGGGGGACCCAGAAAAAGCTCCTGGTTCTTGGCTTCAGATGGGTACAGTTCCAGTCGTTGCGACCATCTAGGGAGTGACCCAGAGAATGGAAGATCTCTCTTTCTCTCTCTCTGCCTCTGCCTCTCTGTAATTCTGCCTTTCAAATAAATAAATCTTAAAAAAAAGAGTTGTGCTTAACCACTATGATGGTTACATAAATACATTGAAGCCAGAGTGGAGAGAAAGTAAAGTGTGTGTGTGTGTGTGTGTGTGTGTATGTGTGTGTGAGAAAGAGAGAGAGAGAGAGAGAGAGAGAGAGAGAGAAAGTAAGTGACAGATCAACTAATAAAGGTGGAAACAAGACATCAAAGGGGTGAGGGATTGTGGAAATATTGTAGAACCAATGGATTGGAGGGTTCAATGGGTTTGAAGCATTAGGTGAGGATTATAGATTCAATGAAATAGGAAAATAGGCCAGAAAATGAAATAAAATGAAACTGAAGTAATGCATAAGGGATGACAACTACCATTCAGAGCATGACTACAAGTGAATGATAGAAATGGGGGAAGTGTAAAATCAATGGAAGAATTGAGCTCAGGAAAATGAAAAGCTGGGGTCGGCGCTGTGACACAGTGGGTTAATGCCCTGGCCTGAAGTGCCAGCATCTCATATGGGCGCTGGTTGGAGAACTGGCTGCTCCACTTCTGATCCAGCTCTTTGCTATGGCCTGGGAAGTAGAAGAAGATGGCCCAAGTCCTTGGGCCTCTGCACCTGAGTGGGAGACCTGGAAGAAGCTCCTGGTTCCTGGCTCCTGGCTTTGGATCAGCACAACTCCAGCTGTTGTAGCCAACTGGGGAGTGAATCATTGGATGGAGGACTTCTCTCTCTCTCTCTCTCTCTCTCTCTCTCTCTCTCTCTGCCTCTCCTCTCTCTGTGTAACTCTGACTTTCAAATAAATAAATAAATCTTAAAAAAAAGAAAATTAGAAACTAAGATAAAAAGCTAGCTTTATATTTATATATTGAAATTACCAAGAATTGTCACAGGAGTACTGCTATAGGGATGATGAGCCAGGAGATTACAGTATTAAAAAACAAGGAGAAAGGACCTAAAGATGGATATAGACAAAAGCAAATAAAAAAGAAGAAAAAAAAAACACAGATTAAAAAAAAAGCTAAAAAACTAAGAGGTGAAAATGATACAGTACGTTGATATTACAGTTAAGCTGGATGACTTTACTAGAAGTACCAAAGAACAGTCTGAAATTGGCAGTGAGGATCAAGGAAATCCCTCATCTCACCTGCAGACCAAAGACGGGAGAAAAACAGCCATCACATGAGAGACCTGCAGAAAGTATGGCGTCTTTCACACATTAGAGTCTCGGCATCATTGGATTGAATTATGCCAAAGCTTCTGTAGCAAAGACACTGCATTTTCTCCACATTTGGAGTCAAACACAACAAATTCCCTCTCTATCAGAAGCAGAAGTATGTAATCCAGAGTATGACCTAGCTTTCTCCAACCATGAGACAGGTGTTGGAATAGTCAGACAGCAGCAGTGAAGCTGTGACCTCTGAGCTTGACCACAGTTGTGTAATGCTTTGTTGATAGAGTCTCCCACTTAATGAAGTCAGTAGTCATCTCACTTTTCAGATGAATAAAATACATTTTAGACACACACAGTCACAGCAATTTAACTTGTTCCTGTTCATTTAATCTTGTTAGCTACTTAACAATTAATTCTGAGCTTCATTTGTATTCTTGATAAAAATTACCCCAAATCATCCACTGTCTATCAAACTGTAATAGTCATCTTGTCATACTTTACTTACTATGTGATTCTATGCTGCTATTCCAAAATCAGTTGCTGATATGATGTATTCATGTTATTTTAAAAATATACTTACTGCTACTTGGTGGTAAAAACAATCCATTGATATTTCGAGGTTTGCTGTGATAAAAGATGCAACTGATCTTCACACAACCAAGAGGCTGAGTTTCCCAGAAGCATGAAATGCTACAGTTTTGCTAGACAAAGAAGGTGGAGAAAAACATCATGATTAGATGGCATATTCACAATAAATACAATGTGTACAACATATACAATAAAACACAATGTGACAAAAGCAATTGCAATTACAGATTTAGGATCATGTGTGTCCTCTGGTTTTCAATTTTCTAAGCTACACTATTTAAAAGATGTAACAGATATTTATAAATTATATTCCTTCATTTAAAAAAATAAAAACTAGAATAAAGTGAAGAATGTCTAAAACTAAATAATGGGAGAAAGAATAATTTCCTATGGTTTTGTGAAAGAAATTCAATACTATTGAAAAGGGATGCTTTTAAATAATGATGCTGAATAATTCTACCTGCATCTCCATGTGTCTAAATCTGCAAAGCGGATCTAAACATTTTTTCTCTCTCCATAATGAGCACACAGTATCACTGCCAAGAGCCTTTTCACAGTGTCGGAATCGGCACTGGGAGCCCTAAAAGAAAAGAGTAAAAAGTGTAGAAAACTCAATATATTACATTAGTGTTCAATAACAATAAACTGATAATTAGAGAAAATATTAGCAGATAAAATTATAATCACAAAATATACCCTACTAATCTAAGATTATAAGTCTATACTTTGGCAATTAGTCTAATTTTGGTGAGAAAGTGGCAACATAATGTAATGATTAAATAGTATTGCATACCACAAGTCACTGATAAAATGACACTTTTTGTTATCAGTTAACCCATGTGCTTCTTTAAGAAAATACAAGAAATCAATAATGTCCTTGATCAGAATCCAATGTCAGAATAATCTAATTTCTCCTTCTTAAGAAAGTCAGACAAACTTGTTATGACTCACTAACCATATTCTAACTATGGAGATGATCTTTATTAATCATTTTTAATTTTAATTTAATTTTATTATTATTTTTTTGACAGGCAGAGTTAGACAGTGAGAGAGAGAGACAGAGAGAAAGGTCTTCCTTCCATTGGTTCACCCCTCAAATGGCCGCTATGGCCTGCGCGCTGCGGCCGGCGCGCCATGCCGTGCCAATCCAAAGCCAGGAGCCAGGTGCTTCTCCTGGTCTCCCATGAGGGTGCAGGGCCCAAGCACTTGGACCATCCTCCACTGCCCTCCCAGGCCATAGCAGAGAGCTGGACTGGAAGAGGAGCAACTGGGACAGAATCCGGCACCCTACCGGGACTAGAACCAAGTGTGCCGGCGCTGCAGGCGGAGGATTAGCCAAGTGAGCTGCGGCACCGGCCATCTATTAATCATTTTTTAAAAGATAATTTGCTTTCTTAGTCTATGGAGATACTCAGTATGTTTATATTATGAAAGTGATTAGAGTTTAATTTTATGTTATTGTAAAATATTAAGTAATTATCACATTATACTACATTAAAAATATGTCATGCCCTTGGCCTACAAAGATAAACATCTGTACAAAAAACACATGGGCATCTTTAAATACTAACAAAAACAGATGCAGATTATTTCAACTGGCTCCTAATGCTTTTGGTTAACTCCATGTTCTTTCACTTACAGATTCCTAGATAAAAAATCTACAGGCTACCTTTAACTATGCAATGAAAATGCCATTAAATTCTTCCCTCTTTTGAAACATGTTCCATGTTCCTTCATCTCCTGCCTAATTCCGTCATTACTCTCTCCCCCTTTTAAAGGTGCATCTCTGTATTCTCACACTACACAGGAGTAGGAAGAGCCTTGAAGTCAGGTAAATCAGTATTTGAATCCTAGTTCCCCTACTAGTTCATAGCAACAAAGTTAGTGATCAGTTCATCCTCCTCTTTGCTTCATTTTCCTTATTTGTAAAAAAGGAATAAAACACAGTATTCACATTCAGTATGTGAATCCTGGGTCTACTACCTGTCCATAGTAACAAGGTTAATAATTAGCTCATCTTCTCTGTGCCTCAGTTTCTTTATCTGTAAAAGGGAGTAAAACAACACCCTTCTCATAGAATAGTTGCAAAAACTACATGAAATAAAGTACTATGATAGCTATTATTTTTATTCACTTAATTGCTTATTGAGAAATTTCTTCCCAATAGTCACTGCCCTAAGTAGTTGATGATACAACGGTGAAACAGACAAAACTGTTCGCCTGGAACATAAATTATACTATTATTTTTCATTCCTGAGTTTAATCAAAAGGTTAAAAAAAAAAAAGGAAGTGGATATAATTGTGTGTTCAAAGAGGTTGAGTCCATTCAAGATTCCTGGCAGAGAATAAACACATTGACCCAGATACATAATATCCTTCACTGAGTTCTTCTGGCATGGCCATGAAGCTCCAAACATCTAGTTTCTACACTTATTTGGCTTATTGAAACCCATGAGTCCTAATCCTTGGATTAAACGTTTTCCCATTTAACTTTACCAAATTTAATTCATTTTTGGCTGATTTGGATTTATTTTTTGCTTTCTTTTTTCCATGATATTAAATATTTTCTGTTACTTAGATTTTTGATGGGAAAAAATCAGTAATTCAGTTCATCAATATCTAATACAGAAACAATTACATTACACTGTTTACTAATGAGTTGAATTCAATTATTTAAATTTATGTCTGGAATCACATTAACCAAGAATATTATATATCATATAATTATTCAATGTTAGAAATTTGATGCTCAAGGAGCCATAATACAGGCAAAAGTACTACCTAAAGATTAAACAGGCAAAGGCTTGTTATAATATATAAGGGTGTTTCAAACAAAACATAACTTTAAATAGTCTCAGAGAAGTTCAGTATATCAAAAATATATGATAAGCCTTTACCTCAGAGTTTAAGAATGTAAAAAATCTTGTAGGAAAATAGTAAATTTTGATTCAGCAATACAAATTACTGCCATATCTTTCTTCATTCTACTAAAAACTTAAGCATGTGAAGTACTGTAAATTGTACAATATTTACCTTTATGCATGTGGAATTAAAAAAGTAATAGCAGTCATTCCCAACTTCTGCCATTTTCAACTCTCTTGTTGCTAATCCAATGATTTTTTTAAGTATAAGAATTGCAGGAATGCAAATATAAGAACTATCAGTGAGTAAAGGGGAAAAGGATTTCTTTTCCACAGTCTTTCAGGCTATCCGTAGTATTCCTTTAAAACTGACCTCTTGTTGACAGTATATTATAAAATAGATAATCTTAAATAAAGTTAAATTAGAAGATACCTTCTCTAGCTTTGCAGAAATGTTGAAAGTGGTTGCTAGTAAGCACACAAACTCAAACTTCCAGAATTTTCCTCACTCTTACCTAATCCATTGTTAGCTCATCATAAATGACCTCACATCTAACTGTAGGTTAGTTTACCTCAGTGATTACTGCATTTTCCTGCCTAATTCTAATATATTAACAAAAGACTGATAAAAATAATAATATATTTTATCATATTATGCATCAAAATATATATATTTTAAACTGTTCTTTTAATTGGAAATTTTTTAAAAAATCAAAACAAATATGGATCTCCACTTTAAGTAGAACAGGCTGTTGGTATAATTTTTTTAATACAATGCTTCAGGATAAAAATCCACAATATAGAATAGAAACAAATTCAGAAAATGTTTACCGATAACTGTACATAAGAAGAAAAATAACTAGGTAGTACCAACAGCAAATAAAGAAGCAGAGGATAAGGGTTTGACTAGACTCTTGAAAATATCCGCAAGGATATATAGAAAAATATCTTTGTTTTTCTCTACTTCATAACTGCAGAACAGTAAAGTACCCATCTTAGGTACACAGGCTACTGAAACATTTCTAAGATATATCTTTATTTTTTCCTTTAAAGATAAATGCCTGCTACACCTGTGAACGTGTAGCTTGAGACTGACCACAACCCAACACCATTACTGCATGATTACACGTACCATCATGATTAAAATCACTGTAAGAATCCATGTTTTACTAACAGGAAAGATTGAACAAATATTTTTACCTTTTGCAGATAAGGTGTAAACAGCTATATTCCACTAGACATAGTAAAGACAGGTCATATCCATGAGAGGTTTTGCTGTTATTTCAGAATCTGTACATTTTGGTAGTCTTTAGAATGCTGGGAGCTCTACTTTCTTCTGCTTTTAAAATTATTTTCTATTATTTTTTCTTGTTCTTCTCACTGCTATTTCTTCCTGTTGTGAATGTCATGTTAGTATTTTTCCAGAAAAGCATGATCCTACCCATGATGATTCTTCCTCTTTAACAAAAGAGTGATGAGAAATTCCTCTCTATAACCAGGATAAGTCTGAAAATTTTGTAAATATTTTGTGTCAGCCAAAGCAGAATTGCATTGAGTGTCTCTGGTGCATGCTACAAACTAACACATCAGTCAGAGAATCAAGTTTTTTCTTCCAGTTTGTATCCTGTGACATGATTTTAAATACATTGGGGTAGTAGCAGCTTTAGGATCAGGACAATCAGGCAAAGTGCTGCTGGCTCCCATCAGAGTAAGAGACCCGTTTATTATGAATTGATCCTGTGGCTCTCCCCTTAGACTCTTGTGTTTTTGCTGGAGGTTTTCTCCTCCGGGGACCTATGACACCAGTTTTGGAAAACGGTGCTTCCCAAGAGCTGAGGAGCCTTGAGGCTACTATTCAGAGAGCAGGTGGAATGTTTTGGAAGATGATCCTTCTAAGAAATGACAGAATGCTGGACCTAGAAAATTCTGTGGCAGTTTGGGAAATGACAGTTGATAGTGGTGAAGGTTAGTTGTCCGTGAGACTTATGAGAGAAGCTGCCTTTTTAGGATTCCTCTAGAAAACTAGGAAGTCGCTTGTGCTTGCCCATAAAATGTTAAGAAGTTTCTGGTTCCATCACACAGCCGGTTCCAGGTTTTTTCCCTTTTCTTGTAAATTGGAAGAGGTTGGTTTTGTATTTACCTGCAAGAAAATTGGCAGAAAAAGTAAACACTTTGAAATAGCAAATCTTTCTCTCCCTCTCAACCCCTACAAATCTGGCAAACAGTGGACTTTTTTTAAAGGGATATTTTATTCCTTGGAACGCCTTTACCTCTCCCCCCAATAATATCCAAGTGAAATATAGTTAAGTATTTCTAAGGGCTAAATCACTAAAATTGTACAGCTGGATACGTGAAGATAAGGCAGTTATACAAAGGAGAACTAGGCCTTGTCCAAGCACATAAAAGATGAAAGTAAACCCAAACTTTCTGTCCGGCTTCAGGCTGGGGCTCGGAGCTGAAATGAAATAAAGGCTACTGCTGCTAAATATTGAACATTTACTCAATCATTGTCACTACTTACCAGCTGTTATTCTTTTGATCAATAAGCTAAATAAAGCTGTTATAGCTCTGCTGTTGACTACAAATACTCAAACTAGTCAGACTCCGTTGGAGTCTACCTTTAATTAAAATAACATTCCTATGAAAAACCTGAGAACGAACCCTGGTTTTTGGCATTCGTGTGGTTTTGGATAAGTCTAAGGTGGTATTTCGTACTCATTACGGGAAGAGTATCAAAATAAATTTCGACACTTCGCAGCATAATGAAGCTCATAAACTTATTAAACAGAACAGACAAAACAGGCTTCATAGAACAACGGTAAAAGGCCACCTGAAATGATTCCTTACAACTAGTATCCTTTAATTTTCCAAAACATCACCGAGGGTGTGGAAAGCACACACACACATTCGGAAAACGGATATTTGTTTTTTCCCTCTCTTCAAAACTCTGCGGAGCCCCGCGGAGGACGTAGGCGCGCATGTCTGGGCGCCTCAGTTCCGCACTACAACTCCCAGAAGACGGCGCGGCCAGGCGGCTGCTTCCGGGCGTGCGTCCCCCCCCCCCCCCCTTGCCTTGGGCTGGACGTCGGGGGCAGCTCACTGGGCGCTGAGCCTGAGTAGGCTGAAGCTGGTGGCTGACGGCTGCGGGGCATCTGCCCGCCGGAACCCGGAGCTGTTGGGAAGCGCGCTCTCCGCTTGCATCGCCTCCTCGGCCCACCATGAGGCGCCTGGGCTCCGTGCAGCGGAAAATGCCCTGTGTGTTTGTGACGGAGGTGAAAGAGGAGCCCTCCACCAAAAGGGAGCATCAGGTACCGAGGAGCGCTGGCGAGGGCGGCGGGGCGCGGGGCAAGTGCCCGACAGGCCGGCAGATTCCTGTGGGCTTCCTTAGGGAGGTCTGGGGTGCGAGTCCTGTACGCCTTGAGCTTCTCCAGGTTCTTGTACCTTAGATGCAGGGGAGGGAACCTGCTAGAGAAGGTTGGTGATGAGGGGGTTCAAACTTACCTTGGCAGGGAAATCGAAACCTCACATCCTAAAAAAATGTTCCTTTCTTTCAGAGGAATCCCCTAAGTATTCAGATAATCACCGCAGCCCAGGGTTTACTACTTTCCAAGAGGGGTGAGAAAGTGGAGATGCTAGAAGACTCGCTTTACCTGTGGTAACCTGGGAGCCCATGGCAGTTCTGACAGCTAGCCCAATTAGGTCACCGAAGATCAGATCGCATTTATTGTTAGCAGCAATTACCTACGTGATTCTAACTGTTGTATTACTTTCGGAAGGTTTTCTATTTGCCTAGCAACGTGTTTCACACATAGTGGGTCTTTAGTGTATGCTAGTGAATGAATGGTAAGTAACCGGTATTCGGATGATTCTTTAATATGGGGCCAGGTCGTTGTCAGTATCATAGCCAGTTATCAGCTGGGTGCTTCCAACTCACAGAAAATCAACATGCCCATTTAACATTGCCTCCTTGCCCCATTTCATCATTGTTACCAGGCCTGCTAGGGTTACAGACTAAGAGGCCTTGAAGGCAGAGACAACCACCCCACCGCACTATCTTTTTTCACAGCTTCTAAGAACTGCTCCTGGGAACACGTGATTGGCACTAGAGGAATATTTGTTGAATTAAAAACTGAACCCTGGAGTCATTTCATGCTTGTTGCTTTTTGCCTCATTACTTCTCATCTTTCCATATTCTTTTCTACTAATGTCACTTAGATAGTTCTTAATATTTTGTGGCCTGCTTTGTGCACTGCCTTTCATCATGGCATCCAGAATGATCATCACCATGTTCTTTCCTAGTCAAAACCCTGCACTTAACAATAACTGTAGCAGTACTTGTCAGCCTTTTATTTTTTTATTTTTATTTTTTTAATTTTTTTGACAGGCAGAGTGGACAGTGAGAGAGAGAGAGCAGAGCAAAAGGTCTTCCTTTTGCCATTGGTTTACCCTCCAATGGCCACTGCAGCCGGCGCGCTGCGGCCGGCGCACCACGCTGATCCGAAGCAAGGAGCCAGGTGTTTCTCATGGTCTCCCATGGGGTGCAGGGCCCAAGCACTTGGGCCATCCTCCACTGCACTTCCGGGCCACAGCAGAGAGCTGGCCTGGAAGAGGGGCAACCGGGACAGAATCCGGTGCCCCGACCGGGACTAGAACCCATTGTGCCGGCGCCGCAAGGCGGAGGATTAGCCTATTGAGCCACGGCACCGGCTAGCCTTTTATTTTATTTATTTATTTATTTATTTATTTTTTTGACAGGCAGAGTGGACAGTGAGAGAGAGAGACAGAGAGAAAGGTCTTCCTTTGCCGTTGGTTCACCCTCCAATGGCCGCCATGGCCGGCGCGCTGCGGCCGGCGCACCGCACTGATCCGATGGCAGGAGCCAGGAGCCAGGTGCTTTTCCTGGTCTCCCATGGGGTGCAGGGCCCAAGCACCTGGGCCATCCTCCACTGCACTCCCTGGCCACAGCAGAGGGCTGGCCTGGAAGAGGGGCAACCAGGACAGAGTCCGGCGCCCCGACCGGGACTAGAACCCGGTGTGCCGGCGCCGCTAGGCGGAGGATTAGCCTAGTGAGCCGCGGCACCGGCCTAGCCTTTTATTTTTAATCCTTGACAAACTAAATTCATATGAAACCTTGTCATCTGGGGAGTGGTTCAGTCTAGCTGTGATTGCCGATTATGTGTGTTAGGAGATAGTAGTTTGTGAAAGTATCATCTCTCTGCAGTTGAGAATAGGTCACAGTGATGTTTATAGCATAATGTCTAGCTTTTTAATTAGAATTCAGGGCCTCCCATGCATCAGGCCCAATCTCTCTAACTTTTTCCAAATGGGGCCTCTGTGTTATCAAAGTCTGTTTGATTCTATGTATACACCAAGCATAATCCTGTCTATACATTGCTGCACGGGCTTTTTATTCTGCCTGGATCACCTCCACAGTGTTTTTAATTTTTCAGGTAGGACCTTCTTGATAAAAAAATCTTTGATCAATTTAATCATCCCAGTGATTTCTCTTACCCAGAAATTATAATGGACGGCCCAGTTGATACTCACTTATTTATTTTTTATTGACACATGCCTTTTTTTTCCAGTAGTAATCTAAAGTCTTTGATGACAGATGGAGAAGATCCTTGTGCACCTCTTAAAGTCTTGTGTTGTACTTTGTACATGTCGATAGTGAGGAGCAGTAGATAATTGATTCTTATGGAAGAACCATTTACATAGAGCTCCATGATCATGGAAATCTGCTCTGCAGTGAGAGAGAGAGAGAGAAAGGTCTTCCTTCCGTTGGTTCACTCCCCTAATGGCCGCTAAGGCCAGCGCTGCGCCCATCTGAAGCCAGGAGCAGGGTACTTCCTCCCGGTCTCCCATATGGGTGAAGGGACCCAAGTGTTTGGGCCACCCTCTGCTGCCTTCCAGGGCCACAGCAGAGAGCTGGACTGGAAGAGGAGCAACTGGGACTAGTACCCGGTGCCCCAACTGGGACTAGAACCAGGGTGCCAGTGCCGCAGGTGGACGATTAGCCAAGTGAGCCATGGCACCGGCCTTCCATAGGATCTTTGATAAAGAAAATATGCACATACAAGCATACACACACAAAACTCAAACACTGCTATTGGGTCAGACTTTCTGTAGGTTAAATTGATATTCTCTGATACCAATGTCATAAGTTAATGACAAATTTTCATTCAGCGTCTCTTAAAAAGCCCTGAATCAGTACCTGAATGGGGCTATTTTGTAGTTTACCTGACTCTATTTGAAATAGTGCTTCCACATTATTATTCTTGAGTTCATATACACCAGTATATTTATATTTTGCAGTGGTTTTTCACATTGTAAGATTAAAAGTTAATTAAGATTTAGACGATAAAGCAATGTATATGTCTCTCTCATAAATGAAACTGCAGATCAAAAAGTTGGTAGGAAACATAGAAACTGCCTTTCCTCCATCTTTGATGCTCTCTTGATGTGCCTTTTTGACAATAGAAAAACTGTAAATACCAACCATTAACCTCTGGTAAAATTGAAAGGAATAAGAAGTGAGTACTCTCAAAACAAAATCTAAGGAAAAATAAAAGGCAACTGATTCATAGTAGTTTTAACAGTAAAAGCTTAAGAGAAAAACAAGAATGAATCAAAACCAGCCTCAAATGTTGAATACTCATTTTGCAAAGAATTGGAACTGAAATAGTACTTAGGTGTACAATATAACATGTATGAGATGACATAGTGAATCAGCTTCAGTCATCAAGGCGCTGTATTGACTGGAGTACTCATTTGAGGTCTCAACAAGAAATTGTGCTAGTGAATCTTATTATTTATACACAGTCTGCATGGTCTAGGGCAATTCCTTTCATACTCAAACTTTGTTGGATGAGTACCCACAGAAACTTCTGTATTTATATTATAATGAGACTTGTAAATACAACATTCAAAGCAAAAGATTCATGAACCTACCTGGGGAAATCAGGTAACTAAAGAAAACTGTTGTCAATCTGAAGCCTAATTCAGAATCAAGAAAAAGATTTCTTTTATGGAGGCAGTTTCTGTTCTGCCTTCTTGAACATTTTATAAGTAAAGAAGTTAATGCAAAAGGCTATAATTGATATAGCTTAAAAATTTAAGTTTATTCGAACATAATGTCTAGTTAATATGAGAAGTCTCTGTAAGAAGCCATCGGGGTTGTTTCCTTTCAAGTGGATCATGTATTTTCTAAATGAATATTTGTTGAATTTTATAACATATCTTAATTTCTGTAGGTATAAAGCTGAATAAAGGAAAAAATTGTTCTGGAAATTAAGATGCTTTTAGTCGATGATCTGAAATTTTTCAGATAGAGATGCAGTAGCCATCACATTGGAGATATACTAATAAAAATCACTTTAGGAAAAGATGCATATAACTAATTTAGGCAACCTAACTTATGATGGCAGTGGACGGTTTTCAGAGATAAAATATTAAGGAAAGAAAAAGGCATTGTTTTATGTTATGCAGTTGATAAGAAAAAGCATGTAAAACAAATAAATCCAGAACATACATCTTTAGCTTTTTTTAGAAACTGTGCTGTACAAAATAGAAATTGATGTCAGTTATATTAAGAAGAAAAATGCACTGAAAAAGAGCTGAAATTATACTGGAAGTTTATTGGTGATTACATCTGGTTGGGGAGATTGTATATGATTTCTGGTTTATGCCTTTGTGTATTTTTACAGATTTTCTGTAATGCGCATGTGAGCATTAACTTTGCTAAAAAAGGCAAAGAAAAACCAAAACCAAAGTATGAACCATCTTCTGTACATCTCTTGCTGCTCTCTGAGCATGTGGCTCGAAGCAAGAGGACATCTCCAGATCCTTGCTAAGATTTACGAAGAACCGCATCTTAATTGAAAAATAAATTCTGTTTATAAAAGAGGGGGGAATTCTCAGTTGTTGAGAAGTAGGTTTATTCTTGGAAAACTGAAAATTATGATTGGCAAGTATTTGTACTGAGC